TGGAAACAAAAAAGGCACGGAGTGAGAAGGGGAGGGGGCTCTGTTTAACCAAGGCGGGCCTGGGTGGAGGCTGAGAAAGGACTGTGACAAGGTAATGGTAGGTAGCAGGTGACCGGAGAGGACAAGAATCTAACGGAGCTTGGAGCAAAGACGACTTGGGAAACTTCCAAATAAAAAGATCATGTTGTTAACAATTTTGCCTAAGTTTGCTCCTGCAGATAAACATATCCAGTATCAAATACTTCAGTGGCAAAACCCTGAGAACTGAAAAGAAGCCAAAATCCAGTAAACTCTGATATTTTCAAAAATAGTCCCTTGTAAAAGAGATTCAAGGACACTCATTCCTACGATGAAGTCTGGGCCCCTAATCCATCTTCCTCTGCTCCCCATTCCCTGCCCTAGCATTTTCTCTGGAATGACTCCATTCAACAGAACGTTGAGAATTTGACTCCAAAACTCTGAAGGGCAGGTCAGTATGTCAAACCTTCAAGATTACAAAGATTAAGACACAATCTGCTTCAGGATTAAGACACAATCTGCTTCAGCCATGACAGGATTGGAAGAAAACACAGACAATGACATGATAACGGATGACATAACTAAGGAGAAGAGGGAGACGGGTGATGCAAGCAACACCTGCCAGTCATGGGCAGAGGATGGAAAATCCAGGCAAGCTAGGAACACAAGCAAAGCCTCAGGAGAACCTCCTGACTTAACCCACTCCCAAAAAGACAGGCTCTGAGGTGGAGATTTACATGCAAGACATTTACAAAGCAATTCCCAGTGCTTCTTGGGAATTTGCTTAGAGGGAGGAGTTGAACTGTGAAGCAGTTGCAAGAGGCCTATTAGGAAGAGCTGGGGAACCAGGATGATTTTTAGAGCCGGGGCAATGAGCGCCTTTGTGCTTCTCATCCTCAACCAGTCATTGAAGTGAGCTTCCGCTGGGCTGATGATGTGACCTGGAGCAAGAGGGACTCAGCTGAGATCCACTGGGAGTCCACATAGCTGGGGAAACGGGGATCTCAGTTCTGAAGGAAGATCTAGGTATGATTTCGCTGCATCCACTGTACATATGAATTAAGCTGGCTCCTGATGTGTATGGGTTAGATTTCCGTGCTGGGAGAAAAGGGAGGAAAGGACAGGAATTTATTTTTTTTTTTTTTGGAGATGGAGTCTTGCTCTGTCGCCCAGGCTGGAGTACAATGGTGAGATCTTGGCTCACTGCAAGCTCCACCTCCCGGGTTCAGGCCATTCTCCTGCCTCAGCCTCCTGAGTAGCTGGGACTACAGGTGCCTGCCACCTCGCCCGGCTAATTTTTTGTATTTTTAGTAGAGACGGGGTTTCACTGTGTTAGCCAGGATGGTCTCGATCTCCTGACCTCATGAATCATCCACCTCGGCCTCCCAAAGTGCTGAGATTACAGGTGTGAGCCACCATTCCCGGCCTGTTTTTTTTTTTTTTTTCCTCTTAAGTGAACAGAACATTGCGGCTCTAGTGAAGGTTGCGCATAGGCAAGCAGATGGGATATGAAATTAGGAGGAAGGCAAGGGGCTCTCTGCAGAGAATCTTGAAGGCCAATCATGCCTACACTTCGTCATTTTCTCAACAAAATATATTAACATATAACATTTAATATATGGTATATAGTTTTTCACTGCTCTAAGTGTAGGGGTGGGGGATATGGGGGCCACTTGTAATATGAGCAAATAATAACTTTGATTTAGTATCATTTTGTCACATTTGTTCTCAAAAGTTTCTTATTTCCTAACTGCTCATAGGAGTACTAAAATTCTATAATATATATATTTTTGGCTTTCTGGGGTTTGACTAATATAAGATGATAAATCATCCGCCTGCAAATATGGTGGACCCCTTCTGCAGAGAGACCAGCGTTCAGGATTGTAAGAGCCAGGCCTTCCCAGCAATGTTCTCTCCATCTCCCTGTGACTACATCCCCAAGAAAGCTGTCATTAGGAAGGAAACATGGTGATTGGACCATTTGTATTGGTTTCTAAGTGAGTGTTAACACAGGACTAGAGATGTACTATATGAGGTTTGGATAATGGACACTCACTTGTAAGGTAATTGTCACCAAAAATAGGGGATTATGTTCATTTTTTATAGTCTGAGCATTTTGCACTTTGAAATGAGAATGAAAAGAGCAGTAGCTACTGAGCGGGATGATGAATGAATGAGGGGACAGAGCCAGGGCTGACATCCCAAGTATTAGATCCACGTATTCTGTGTTGGATCCTTTCCAGGGTAAATTATAGGGGAAAATGCCATTTGTCTTCTTTTCATCCTTTTCATCCGTAGAACTGGAAGAGTTACTACCATTTTTTATTGGGCTTATTTTGAGGAGTATTAATTTAACTTTATACAAAGATGAAAAAGAATGTAAAATAAGAATTTGGTTTCTTGGCAATTCAAAATCAGGTCACTGTTTTACAAGGCTTTATCATCTGTACAGTAATTTTTTTAGGGGTAGCTAATTAGCGGAGGACCCAGTGGATTTTTTTATACCCAGTATGTCTAAGAGTCATGTGGGCCTGGGTACTGGACTCCACTCCTGGGGTTCTATTTCAGAAGTTCTTATGGCACAGAGAAGTATGCATCTTAACAGGTGTTTTATCTGATTCTGAAGCAAGTGGTCTTCTGTCCATGAGTGATTACTACAGTGAGATAGATAATAATAGTTTGTTTGAACTGGGGTCTAGACATGCCTATGGGATCTAGCCAGGAAATATAAATAAGAGGGGCTGCCTGGTATAAGTCGATTAGGGCTTGGTGCATGTTGCTGCAAGCCGGAAAACACAAGTGGGGCAACAGTGTCTCAATTTTCACTTATTGTTGTGATGGGGGAGTGCGATTCCAATACTGCTAAATGACCTGAGCATTCAACAGATACCAGGGAGCTGGAAATCTATACAAAGTCTCCTAATATTTAAATGTTGACACCTAACTGAAATAAAATTAAGACTACGTGTTTGGCAGATAAAACATGCATACTGGATTCCATCGCTAAGCAGCCAGTCTGATGCATCTGCTCTAGAGAAAGGAAGAAGTAAAAGGTGTTGGGATTGTGCAGGGTGAGTTTCAATGCTGTTAAGGCAGAGTGGTCTTAGGTGATTCTCTTTAGAGCAGTTGTATTTAAAATTCTTGTTCTGTGAACAGTGTAAGGGGCAAAACAGTGACGTCCTCAAAGATACTGTGGTTTGTGATGGAAAAATTAGAATATTTGGCACCTGACACAGGCACAAAGGTCTATTATTTTCAATTACTTCCTTGGAGATTTTTTGGGAAGATTTATTTTCAGATTTGGAGGCAACCCATTGCCAGCTATGTCCTGGGGGCATGGGAGATGGGTGGATTGGCATGGGCGAGAGGACTTGAGCCTACAGGAGGGAATTAGGTGGGAGATGATATCGGAGGCAGAGTCCTCCTCGGTGCCTGGAATAGTGATATCTAAGGTGGCCTAAAGCTACATACAGGGAAATTAAAAGACCTGAGATGCTGACCCAGACAGTCAGGAACCAAGAGAACTGGAGCCAGAATTAAGCTGGGAATAGTGCTTTGGGCCAGAGCTCATCACAGGGCAATCTTTTCTAAATAAAGAAGTGAGATCTATTTAAGAAAAGAATAGTTAAAATGTGTCTTGAGGCCTGGCGCGGTGGCTCATGCCTGTAATCCCAGCACTTTGGGAGGCCGAGGCGGGCAGATCACGAGGTCAGGAGATTGAGACCATCCTGGCCAATATGGTGAAACCCCGTCTGTACTATAAGTACAAAAATTAGCCAGGCATGGTGGTGCATGCCTGTAATCCCAGCTACTCGGGAGGCTGAGGCAGGAGAATCGCTTGAACCTGGGAGGCAGAGGCTACAGTTAGCCGAGATCGTGCCATCACACTCCAGCCTGGGCACAGAGCAAGACTCTGTCTCAAAAAAATAAATAAAATTAAAAAAAAGTGTCTTGAGGCATCAGAGTTCTCACCCAAAATATCTTTCTATCACTTCTGTGTACTCAACATTTAAATATGCATTCCAACCTCTCACCTCCCTCCTCACCATCAAGTACTGACATGGCCAATGGACTTGCATAGCAGAAATATGAACTCAGCTAAAGTCTCCTTCTTTGAGTCTGGGGCTTTGGAATGACTGCTGAAGGTGAATATGAAAATTAGATTCTCTAGCTTGCCTTCTGCACACCTAGAAGCAGCTCAGTTCAGGTCCATGGCAGGCAGTATTCACTAGGGAAGGGAAGTGGGCCAGAGGGTGGAAAATGTCAGTGGTTCCCAAACCTGGGTCAGCACCTATCAGTCATAGCTCTGATAAGCTTATGACACGGCGGTAACAAACAATCTTGAATCGTAACACAGCGAAATGGTATTTCTCACTCAAGACTATATGACCAACAGGGTTAGCAGAGAGAGAGAGAGAGAGAGAGCGTGTGTGTGTGTGTGTGTGTGTGTGTGTGTGTCTTGCTCACTGTGGTTACTTGGGTATTGAGGCTGACACAGTACGTCAAAGGTAAGTAAGTCATGGCTTCAGGTACATCAGTAAGTACATCAGGGGAAGTGACTGGGAAGAACTACTTACTGGCTTTGAAGCCTCTGCCTGAAAGTAACACATGTTACTTCTGCCTACATTTCAATGGTTATAGCAAGTCACATGATCATGCTTGCCTTCAAAAGAGGCAGGAAAGTGCAATCCTACCACAAGGTTAGAGCAGAGAAATGGAACATCTGTGATCCCTCTGAGAACCTCCACAAACCTTAAGATTCGGATTCATTATATTTTCCCCAAGTCATTCTAAGTCTCTGTTATGTTTGGAAACCTCTGATCTACCCATTTCATCTTTGGAGGAACTTCTGAGCTGAGATGTGAGTCCTTTCTTGGCTTCTTGGCAAGGCATCCTAAGTATTGAGTGTAGATTTACATTCAGCAGGTATCCAATGAACCGTTTTTCTCAGTAACGCACCAAGTCTTCAAGAGGAAACCAAATGCAAAGTAACCGTATTTTTTATTTCTATGAACAATAAAATACTTTCATAATTTCACATCCCATTGCTTTTAAGAGCACATATATTACAAATAAAGAAACTCCACAAACTTTAAAGATTAGTATTTATCAACACTTCTGTACACATACACAAATATTTTAATATAATGGTATCTGAAATGTTATTCATATATTTTTAGTACTGTCATAGTATTAACTAAAAAGGATCTTTTAAATTTGGTAAAAACCGTATATTTTACAATCTTTTATTTACATCTGAAATATGCTTAAATGTTACAAAAACATTCACTTTAACCTTTAAAATATGTGTACTAGGACTGGGGTACTGACCATACAATAACTGACAGCAAACTTAGGGTTTGCATTTGAGCTACACATTCACTGGAATTTCATGGCAAATACTCACCTTGGCTTGATCAACACTGCTCAAAGAAAAAAAAAAGTATACAAAATGTGCAAATTCAGAGATTGGCAAAATTCTGAAGCTTAGCGAGGTAAACAAAAATATTAACACCATGAAAACTTCAAATAAATTAAACCTATCTTCCCCGAGATTAGCTGCAAATTCAGAAAGTTCTCTTAGAGGCGGGTCTGATGCTGCAGAGCCCTCAGACTTCAGCACTAGATGAGATGGAGACTGTGGGTAGGGCCGGAGTTGCTTTGCTAATTACTCGAGTGCAGGTTTGGTCCACTCCGTGCTTTGACGGGTCGTCCCTGCCCGTAATCTTAAAACAGGAAAAAACAACACAACGAAATAAAATAATGAAGAGGTTAATGTTAATATCCCAAACACAAAATTAAAACCCAGAATACAGGTTTTTATTCCCCACAGGGTAATTTATGCAAATTATGAAAAGACTCATATCAAAGTAGATCTAAAGAATTTTTCCCCAAGACGGTGTGCTGGCTTTAACTTTTGGTGAAAGTTAAAATAGTTTCACCATCATCTTCCGCTATCTGACATAAATTTATAAATGTTGGGTGAAACTTACAAAATATATCTGAGTAATTCCAGGATTTTATTCTATTCTAAAAGGCTATCATTTATATTGTCAGCATGTGCCAAAAAAAGGGAAACATTAGAAACCTCATTTAAATGTTTGCATAAAAGGAAATACAGTAAATAAAAGTCTTGACCTGATTTTAATTTTGAAAATAATGTTAGTGTGCCTAAAAAATACTTTTTCAGATTGATTCAAATAATGACGTGTAAGCACAATAACAGCAGAAACTCCAGACACTTTTAAAATATATCTTTGTACAGAAGAGATTTCTGTACAAAGAATTGTGAAGATTTTTCCACTAACTTCACACATTGTCCCACTGTGCCATGACCTTCATCTCTACTCTTCCAAGATAAAATCGCTACTTCTGTTCCCCAAAGAGCACTCAGCTGAGAGCATCCTATACTACCAGTAAATTCTCCTTATGATCAATATCACAAAGCTCTGAATAAATAATCCGACTGATGATGTGTTCAAAGAGTAGACTCCAGGTGCAGTATACCTATGCTTGGCATCACACCAGATTGGGTCTGTTCCTTTCTCTGTATTTTACATTGGATACCCATCGTCACAGTTGACTTCAGTATGCTGTTACTCTTACTGAATGTTGAAACAGACTCCAAATGGGCATCTTATACTGATGCTTAATCTGAATGCTTATATGCATTCCTTTGGCCTCAAGCCTTTTATGTTTTTTTTGCTATTTATTATAAACAGTATGGAATTTTGGCACCTATAAAAGCAATTATTGCCATGCGCGGGGGCTCACGCCTGTAATCCCAGCACTTTGGGAGGCCGAGAAGCGGGTGGATCACGACGGGTCCAGCAGATTGTGTCCATCCTGGCTGACAGTGTGAAACCCCGTCTCTACTAAAAATACAAAAAAATTAGCCGGTGGAGGAGGTGGCGCGGCACCTGTAGCCCAGGGCACTCTGGGACTGAGGCAGAAAATGCGATGAACTCGGAGGCGGAGCTTGCAGTGAGCCGAGATCACGCCCACTGCACTCCAGCCTGGGGAGCTGAGCGGGAGACTCCGTCTCAAAAAAAAAAAAAAAAAAAAAAAATTGTTGCCTGCTGGTCAGTGACAACTCAAACTACTTTATCTCAACATCTCCATTTTACACAGTAGCATCCACTTTATCTGTCTTGTCTCTTCTCCTTATACTGGAAGGTTCCTTCATTAACTAGATGTATTCAAAATACTCTCTAAGCTAATACTTTTCTAGACAACTTTTTGAGTGAATTGCATATGTAGCTGAACAGCCAGAAGGACGAACATAACTACATTTTTTAGTTTTA